ATATATATATATATTGGACACTGAGCTATTCGGATAATCTCCCGAATTTGCTTTATACGATCTAAACCCAAATACATTACTTAACTAAGAACAAACATTATTTTTTACACCACCTATAATATCAGTAATAAAAAAATAAAATAAACATAGCATAACATTACATTACATAATTCATGCAATATTTTTCACAACATGTTAGCAATTTAGCGTACAACGTTAATGACACATCGCTTAAAGCGCGCATGCAACGCCAGGCAGAACACATAACACATACACAGTGCAGAAATGAAAGGTGCAGCCTTAAAACTATTTAAACGTGAAACATTAGTTAAAATGTTATTGTTGGTCAACCTTGTTCGCAGTTTGTCCCCTGCCAGCCCAGGGGACAGGTACACGCGTAGAACGTTTGGGAGCTCCTACAGGTCCCACCGTTTTGACATGGTGTACTTCTGCATGTATTCGTCTCTATAGTTGTCGGGAAAACAAATGTAAGTAATGTAAAAAGAAGATGAGATGGTCAGTAATAAGGTTTAGGCGAATGAATACGCGACGCGTTGGAGAATGGTGAAGGTTAAACTTATGATGACAAAGAACGCAACGATGATGGAAGTGGGTATTTGGTATATTCAAAGATCGATTGTATGATTGAAAAGTTAATTGATGAGAAAATAATCTGTCTACAGTAGTTAGTCGTGTGACAATGTAATTATTCGTATATATGTGTCAACATCAATTAACATATGTTAATTAGTGACTGGAATGATTTGATTAAACAGCTGTTGGTGTTCTAAGATAAGTGGTATTACTCCAATCATGTTAAGTGTCGTAACGGCATTGGTAATTACAAACAACATTATTCCTATCGTCGAGAAGATAAATCCTAAGTTCATATCGCGAGACAATCACGTGGCTTTACCTATGTCACAGTTAGTTCCTTCCCATCCTGCGGGACACGTGCATGTGTAATAACTGTAGTAATTTGTGCACGTCGCTCCGTTTTGACATGGGTTTGGAGAGCAGGCATTGATTTCTGAAAGACAAAATGTGAGGCAAGTGTTAATATAATATAATATAATATACAAGTATAGTAATATACAAGTCGGTAACGAACCTAATTGTTCACATGACTGAACGAATTCGAACGAAGTGTATAGTTGTGTGTAACAATTTCACAACAAGTTGCAAACTTAACTATGTTGTCAATATTTGGTATAATATGTAATAATATAACATTGAGAGATAAAAAACGAAATTAAGGTTGGGTGTTTACCTGTTTGACATTGAGTTCCTATCCACCCAGTAGGGCAATCACAAACGAAGTACGTCTGAAAGTTTGTACAAGTACCACCATTCAGACATGGTCCGTTTAGACACATATCTATCTCTGTTATTTGTCCAAAAAAAGAACTAAACGGTTAGTAAAATAACATGTGACATACAAATTATAATTATATGAAATGGTGTAGCCTGGAATCCAGTCATTTTATCTGAGTATCTCATGAATATCCATGTAACCATGTAGTCGGCACAGTTTTCTGTGTAATCGTGGGAACATGCGTTCGCAGTCTGACTCGTAGGCAAGAACAGTCCCCAACAAGACTGGTTCACTAGTCTGATATTCGCACATTTGTCAAAGTCTCACTATCGTAGACGGCAACGAGCTTTAATATATACCACGTTACGACATGTTTTATCATCCGTCATACCCTCATTATGTCACATATGAATTCAAGATCAATATCTCTGTTCTATGTTTTGCTCAATAATAGTCACTGTGCTGCCAACTAATTAATTATTGGTATGCACATGTTTTAAAACGTCTTGGTACGCAGCAAGCCCAATGAGGAGTTTTACTATGCACACACATCTTCGGAACCATGGCTTAACGAAACGCACCACGACTCCCTAAGCCTTACACCCAAATACCCAAAGGACAAGTAAGTAAATAATTACCAAGTTCACAGTCAGCACCTTGCCAGCCTGGCGCACAGTTACAGGCGTAGGAAGTGAAAAAGTTATTGCACGTTCCGCCATTCAAGCAAGGATTGGTAGGAGCACAGGCGTTGAGCTCTGCTCAAATAAAAAACATAATAATTAAGTGGTTAAATTGAAGTGTATTTCACAAGAAATAACGTAATCATATATAATAACAAAGTAATTTACATTTCACTGCCACACATTATACATGTACATTAACATAGTCAGTAAACATAATCCAAACCATACATTAATGAAGGGCTACTATAATAACAACATACATTATTATATTACTCAGCACATTGTATGTAACAAAGTATATTCCTAGCATTAGCTCCATGCATTCACTGTTATACGTGCACTCACCTGTTTGACACGTAGGACCCGTCCATCCTATGGGACATTGGCACTGGTATGTAGTGACAAGGTTGACACAACCACCTCCATTTCGACATGGGCCACTTTCACATGGATTGATTTCTGTAGAAGAAAAGATTCATTATACGATATATATACAGGGCTACCCGGGAACTAATACAAAACGTATATC